CCCAGCACTTTGGGAGGCTGAGGCCGGCGGATCACCTTAGGTCAGGAGTTCGAGACCACCTGGCCAACATGGTGAAACCTCATTTCTACTAAAAATACAAAAATTAGCTGGGCGTGGTGGCACACACCTATAATCCCAGCTACTTAGGAGACTGAGGCGGGAGGATTGCTTGAACCTGGGAGGCGGAGGTTACTGTGAGCCAAGATCGTACCACTGCTCCCCAGCCTGGGCAACAGAGTAAGACTCCATCTCAAAAAAAAAAAAAAAAAAAGAGTCCCTTTCAGTGGGCTAATTAGCAAGAGACAAAATGTGAACAGGGCCAGGCACAGTGGCTCACTCTTGTAATTCCAGCACTTTGTGAGGCCGAGTAAGGCAAAGTGCCTCACTTTAGCACAGGGGTTCAAGACCAGTCTGGGCAAGATAGTGAAACCCCATCCCTCCAAAAAATAAAGAAATTAGATGGGCGTGGTGGCGCACCTACGGTCACAGTTAATTGGGAGGCTGAGGTGAAAGGATCACTTGAGCACAGGAGGTCGAGGCTACAGTGAGCCAAGATTGTGCCAGTGCACTCCAGTCTGGGCAACAGAGCAAGACCTTTTCTTCACCAAAAAAAAAAAAAGTGAACAGAAGACTATACTGTACTCCAAGAAGAATGTCTCCAGGACTATGCAGAATCTTCATAATGGTAGCCTTCGATATGGTAGTATTTTCTGGGGGAAATGTGAACACAGTGGCCCTTGGCCGCTTATCCAATTTGGTGGGAAATTAAAGTATGAATAGTAAGAAAGCAAGTTTTCCCACCCTACATATTTTATTAAAGAACACTTAGCTAGAATATGTTTTTAAAAAAGAAATAAAATGAGAAACCAAGGGATCTGAGACCCAAGCCTAGAGTTAGAAATTGTAGTTTCTAGGTTGGTCTCTGCCCTGGAATTCCTTTTGAGGTTCCATTTGAGTCTGTGCTGCTCAGTTTCTCACTTATTAAAGGATAATTTGATTGCCACTGTGGTGTTAAAATACTCATGACGGAAAAGTGTTTTATTATCCAGAGATCAAAATTCCAGTGTTGGGGCCAGGCGCGGTGGCTCACATCTGTAATCCCAGCACTTTGGGAGGCTGAGGCAAGCAGATCACTTGAGCTCAGGAGTTATAGAGACCAACCTGGCCAACGTGGCAAAACGTCATCTCTACTAAAAATACAAAAAAATTAGCTGGGTGTGGTGGCGCATGCCTGTACTCCCAGGTACTCAGGAGCCTGAGGCACAAGAATCCCTTGAACCCAGGAGATGGAGGTTACAGTGAGCCGAGATCACGCCACTCCACTCTAGCCTGACCAATAGAGAGAAGCTGCATCTAAAAAAAAAAAAAAAATTCCAATGATGGGACCATAAACATTTCAATCACTTTATTTATTTATTTTCATTTTTATTTATTTATTTATTTTGAGACAGAGTCTTACTCTGTTGCCCAGGCTGGAGTGCAGTGGCCCCATTTCGGCTCACTGCAACCTCCTCCTCCCAGGTTCAAGTGATTCTCCTGCCTGAGCCTCCCGAGTAGCTGGGATTATGGGCGCATGCCACCATGCCCAGCTAATTTTTGTATTTTTAGTAGAGACAGGGTTTATTGGCCAGGCTGGTCTTGAACTCCTGACCTCTGGTAATCCATCCGCCTCGGCCTCCCAAAGTGCTGGGATTACAGGCATGAGCCACTGCACCCAGCCTCATTTCAATCACTGTAATTAAAAAGTTGATTTCAAGTGGCACTAATATTCTATGAGCCCTGCAATGTTCAATTCCAATCCACATTATGTGAAAATTCAGAAAGGTTCTTAGCTTTCTAGGTTGGGAGAAAATGGACTTCAGTAACTCCCTTCTTTGGGAGATTGTTTCTAGTTCATGTCAGCTCAACCTCTGGGGCCCATGAAAGAAAACAAGTTTCCTTAGGATCTTTAGAGTCAATCAAGTTCATTATAGCCTGAAGGTAAGACCATCTTTCAATAGCCATTCTCAGCTCACTACATTAGTATACCAACAGTCTGGGCCCTTCTTACTTCCTCCTATTTCAAATGTCACCATTGCAGTGTGTTTATTCCATGGGCTTAGCATATAGGGTATTTTTTGGTCCCTGCTTACCTGGCATATGGCCGAAATGCCATTACTCTTGGCCTCACCAGGGTGTACAAGTTGCTCATAAACCAAATCAAGATGTAAACAACAGCTGGATTCTTATTTTAAAAGAGTCACATGATTCCAGGGGGAAATCAGCTTTCAGCCCTTTGCCTCACAGTGGATTTGGTCTGTAGTTTCCCCATATAGTGCCAGAAAGCTGCATGATTGTTAGTTTGAGTCAGATACACAGATACACAGGCAGTCACATGTCCACAGTATACAGTGACCTCACTGAGCAACTCATGTTTCCAGGATGTTGGGAAATTGACTTGCTGGAGGACCTTGTCCTTGTAATGTGGGGATGTCAGTGGTTTATATGATTTAGCAGTAAATTCTGATCTGAATTTCAAAACAGTTGGGCAGTTGCTCAAGGCGACATCTGAACAGCGGATCCTCTGCTTGCCGGAGATGGGGCAGGCCACAGAGCAGCTTGATCCCCAAACCAATTCATGGGTTAAAATTAGATTTCCTTGTATCTCAAAGGAAGTTATCTTGGAGAAGGTGACATTTTCAAAGGCACTAAGGCTTTCATTGCCCTTAGTGAGTACAACAGGAAGGTTCTGTAGGCCATTTTTCACGTAGCCACCTGTGCTTCTCAGCTCTGCCTTTCTGTATATACCTGGCTGCCATTCCTACTTTGTCTCACCTAAGTTCTGGCTTCTGGGTCTAGTGAACAGGTTGGAGTCAAGGGCCTAACATTCCAGTCCCAGTTTGGCCATGGGACAAAGCAGTCATCTGTATAATTGGAAGACATTATTAATAGGTATATCAGAGTGATGCTTTTTTTTTTTTTTTTTCTGGGTCACTTAAGGACAGTTCCCATGGGCCCCTGGAAAACAGTTTATTCTGCTGGAGGACTATTTGCACAGAGCTTAATGAGATATTCACACAGAGCCTAATAAAAACTTTAAAGTCATTCACCGTTTGTCCTATTCTGTGTAGTTGCACTTCCCTAAGCAAATACAGTGTAGACTTTGAACATCTGGTCTGGTTGAAAAAAATCAAGTGGGAACAATTCACTTTACAAAGATTTAATTTTGAACTCCCCTAGCGCTTTGAATTACCTATTTGTTGAATGAAGTTTGTTTGAAACAATCTGTCAACTGTTTTTGTTTCTGTAACAGACCGTGATCCTGCTCTTTATAAGTAGATACAGAACTTCAGATATTAAGGTGTAGAATTGAGAAACATTCATTGTCATCATCTCATTCCAGTTCCCCTTCTTTCACAAAAGAAAAGTTAGGTATTCAGTTGAAGGGATTCTTGAGGGAAGTATTTAGTTCTTTCTAGTTTGCTAGACATCATAGTCTAACAATATTTTCTTCTTTCCTGATGCCCCATGCTAACTTTCCAGTAAGAACACCTGTAAGCCGGCCGGGCGCGGTGGCTCACGCCTGTAATCCCAGCACTTTGGGAGGCCGAGACGGGCGGATCACAAGGTCAGGAGATCGAGACCATCCTGACTAACACGGTGAAACCCCATCTCTACTAAAAAAAAAAAATACAAAAAAATTAGCCGGGCGTGGTGGCGGGCGCCTGTAGTCCCAGCTACTGGGGAGGCTGAGGCAGGAGAATGGCATAAACCCGGGAGGCGGAGCTTGCAGTGAGCCGAGATCACGCCACTGCACTCCAGCCTGGGCGACAGAGCAAGACTCCATCTCAAAAAAAAAAAAAAAAAAAAAAAAAAGAACACCTGTAAGCCAAAGTGGCTCCATCATTCTCAAATGACTTCTTAGAACTACCCATTTGTAAGAGATACTGTCTTGAAATCCAGAAATTTTTTTAATTTTTTTTTTTATTTTTTTTATTTTTATTTTTATTTTTTTTGAGACGGAGTCTCACGCTGTTGCCCAGGCTGGAGTGCAGTGGCGCGATCTCGGCTCACTGCAAGCTCCGCCTCCCGGGTTCCCGCCATTCTCCTGCCTCAGCCTCCTGAGTAGCTGGGACTACAGGCGCCCGCCACCGCGCCCGGCTAATTTTTTTGTATTTTTAGTAGAGACGGGGTTTCACTGTGGTCTCGATCTCCTGACCTTGTGATCCGCCCGCCTCGGCCTCCCAAAGTGCTGGGATTACAGGCTTGAGCCACCGCGCCTGGCCAAAATCCAGAAATTTTTATTACGCCCTGCCTTCTTCATTCGTTTTCTCCTCATAATTATTTTTACGTCAGTCTGTCTGACAGAGAAGATAACTGAAGGAACAAGGCATTTATTTTGGGGTGGAGGTTTGGGGGCTGAGGAGGGAGGTGTCTAGCCGCTCCTGAGGACCCTGGATGCAGAGCAGTCAAGGCCAAGCTTTGGATTTAAATTCCATCCTGGCATTTGCTAGCCATGTGGCTTTGGACTATGCTTTGAACCTGTTTGATCCTGGGTAAACTAAGGATAATATGTAACAACATACATCAGAGATTTACAGAGGGCTGAAACTCAACACAATATCTGGAACAGGAGCATTCAACAAATGGTTGTTACTGTTATTATTATTGTCTGGGAGGACACCATTATTTTTGAGTTCAGGTCATTCTCTTGCCACATGACACTTGCTGTGTTCTCTAGCACTTAGTAGACTCCCTATCCCTTTGGTTAAAAAATGTAGCTGTTTCGTTTTTATCCCTACTTAACCTGTTAGCTTAACCAAGGTGAAACTAGGTATGTATATGTGAAGGTAACAATTTCTAATATGGATGCCAGTTTTAAATTTAATTTCAGAAATTCTGTACAAAAAACCTCATGCTTAGACTAATTTACACTGGGAAAACTCCAGGTTAAGCCACAAATTTTTACTGAATGTTAACATTTTTATAACTTTAAACTAATTTCCTTAATATAACCCTAGATAATGTTTAATTTGGATAAAGTACACATCATTTTGGATGAGATGGTGTTAAATGGCTGCATTGTGGAAACTAACAGGGCAAGAATTCTTGCCCCTCTACTAATTCTTGATAAGATGTCAGAAAGCTGAAAGGAAGCCTCTTCCAGACAACATGGATTTATCAGAAATGCGAGTACCGTGGAATACATCTCAACATCTGTAACCAAGAAGAATCTGGAAGACCACGATTACAAAATGGGGTATCCTTCCAAAGACATTATAAATCGGCGTTTCCCACGGTTCCTAAAAAGAAAACAAAGCTGTACTTTAAAATATGTAAAAGAAAAAAAATTTTTTTAAACTGAGAGAGAAGTTTTATATTCTAATTGTAAACATATCTTTCCCACTTCTTTAAATTCTGTTGACCCTTATTGGTCTATGCTTCTTTTTGCAAATCAAATTCAGGAATAGCAGGATGGTAGTGGGAAGAAAGTATGGCAGTTTTCTGTCAGCCAATAAAGTTTTAAAATTTAAACACAAGGCATTTTGAGTAATGCTGTTTTCTGAAGGCTGTCTTTTTTTTTTCTTTTTTTGAGAGGGAGTCTGGTCTAGCTGTGTCGCTCAGCGCATTCTTGGCTCACTGCAACTTCCACTTCCCGGAATCAAGCGATTCTCCTGCCTCAGCTTCTGAGCTGGGACTACAGGCATGCGCCACCACAAAAAATACAAAAATACAAAAAATTTTTGTATTTTTAGTAGAGATGGAGTTTCACCATGTTGGCCAGGCTGGTCTCAAATTCCTGACCTCAGGTGATCTGCCTGCCTCAGCCTCCCAAAGTGCTGGGATTACAGACATGAGCCACAGTGCCCAACTTCTGAAGGCTGTCTTATTCCTTTAAAAGACTTAGTAAAATTTACTTTTTAAGAGATGTGTGTGTGTGTGTGTGTGTGTGTGTGTGTGTGTTTTTAGATGGAGTCTCACTCTGTCACCCAGGCCGGAGTGCAATGGCGTGATCTCAGCTCACTGCAACCTCCACCTCTGGGTTCAAGCAATTCTCCTGCCTCAGCCTCCTGAGTAGCTGCGACTGTACGTATGTGCCACCACGCCTGGCTAATTTTTGTATTTTTAGTAGAGACGGTGTTTCACCATGTTGGCCAGGCTGTTCTTGAACTCCTGACCTCAAGTGATCCACCCACCTCGGCCTCCCAAATTGCTGGAATTACAAGCATGAGCCACCATGCCCAGCCAAGATGTGTTTTTTGTTGTTGTTGTTGTTGTTTTGTTTTTTAAGAGAAGCGGGTCTTGCTGTGTTGTCCAGGCTGGACTGCAGTGGCTATTCACAGGCATGATCATGTTGTACTACAACCTTGAACTTTCCTGGCCTAGCTTTAAAATCTTTATAATGTGGGGCTGGTGCAGTGGCTCACACCTGTAACCCCTGCACTTTGGGAGGCTGAGGAAGGAGGATCACTTGAGGCCAGAAATTCAAGACCAGCCTGGGCAACACAGACCTCGTCTCTACAAAAAATACAAAAATTAGCCAGGCGTGGTGGCACATACCTGTAGTCTCAACTACTTGGGAGTCTGAGGCAGAAGGATTGCTTGAGCCCAGGAGTTCGAGTCTGCAATGAACTATGATTGTGTCACTGCACTCCATCCTGTCTCGAAAATAAAGAAGTCTGAGTGCAGTGGCTCAGGTCTGTAATCCCAACACTTTGGGGGGCCAAGGTAGGAGGATTCCTTGAGCCCATTAGTTCAAGACCAGCCTGGGCAACACAGCAAGACCACATCTCTACAAAAAATAAATAATTAGCCAGGTGTGGTGGCTCATGCCTGTAATCCTAGCACTTTGGGAGGCCGAGGCAGGTGGATCACTTGAGGTCAGGAGTTTGAAACCAGCCTGGCCAACATGGTAAAACCTTGTCTCTACTAAACATACAAAAAATTAGCCAGGCATGGTGGCAGGCACCTCTAATCCCAGCTACTCGGGAGGCTGAGGCAGTAGAATTGCTTGAACCCGGGACGCAGAGGTTGCAGTAGGCCGAGATCATGCCACTGCACTCCAGCCTGGGCAAGAGTGAGACTGTCTCTAAAAATAAATAAATAATTAATTAAAAAGTTAGCCAGCTGTGGTGGTGAGCACCTGTACTCCTAAGTACTCATGAGGCTGAGGTGGGAGGATTGATCAAGCCCAGGAGTTTGAGGCTGCAGTGAACTATGATCACAATGCTGCACTCCAACCTGGGTAATGGAGTGAGGCCCTGCCTCAAAAAAACCAAATCAAAACAAAAAAACTTTTATAACATGTACCTAACAAAGATTGCAGAGTTAAATTTTATTTGCCAGTTTGTAAAAGTCTTTGATACTCATTTTAAGGGCACTTAGTAATTACAATGCCATTATGTAATTAATTCTATAGAGAACATTACTTTCAAATAATGGATGGTCAGACATTGAGAGTCGCTACAGCTATCTTTTATGCCCCTTTTTTTGTTTGTTTTTTGGAGACAGCATCTCCCTCTGTCTCCCAGGCTGGAGTGCAGTGGTGTGATCACACCTCACTGCAGCCTCTACCTCCTGGGCGCAGGTGATCCTCCCACCTCAGCCTCCCAAGTAACTGGGACCACAGGCGCACACCTGCTCCACCCAGCTAATTTTTGTATTTTGTTGTAGAGATAGGGTTTCGCCATGTTGCCCAGACTGGTCTCAAATTCCTGCGGTCACATGATCCATCTGCCTTTGCCTCCCAAAGTGTTGGGATTACAGGCCTGAGCCACTGTGCCCAGTCTTTTTATGCCACATTTTAAAGGGTTTGCTTATTAATAAGCTTACTGTTAATGAAATGTAGTTCAAAGTTTAAAAGTAGAATGCAGTCAGACACGGTGGCTCATGCCTATAATCCCAGCACTTTGGGAGGCCAAGGTGGGTAGATCTTTGAGGTCAGGAGTTCAAGACCAGCGTGACCAACATGGTGAGACCCTGTCTCTATTAAAAATACAAAAAATTATCCGGGCATGGTGGCACATGCCTATAATCCCAGCTACTTGGGAGGCTGCGGTAGGAGGATCACTTGAAACCAGGAGGCAGAGGTTGCAGTGAGCTGAGATCGAGATTGTGCCACTGCACTCCAGACTGGGCAACAGAGTGAGACTCCGTCTCAAAAAAAAAAAAAAAAAAGTGGAATGCAAGAAAATGTATCTGTACAGATAGGCATGAATCCTTCTCTTCCTCCCTTCACTCCTCTAACCCCTCCTCCTGCAATGTCTTGTAAATTACTGTCATTACAGAAGAGCAATGCACTGCATCCCCCCAAAACCTTTCTATATGCTTTTGCTACCCAGTTAACAGAATATACACAACTGTCTTAGGCGAAAGTATGTACAATAATCCGTCTCTTATCCACTGTTTCGCATTCTGTGGTTTGTGTTACTCATGGTCAACTGAGGTCCCAAAATATTAAATAGAAAATTCCAGAAATAAACAATGTATAAGTTTTAAACTGCATGCCATTCTGAGTAATGTGATGAAATCTTGCACCGTCCAGCTTTGTCCTGCTCGGTCCTGCTCCATCGTGCCTGGGAGGTGAATCGTCCCGTTGTCCAGCATATGCATGCTGTATACACTCCCCACTTGACATTTAGTAACTGTCTTGGTTACCAGATGGACAGATCAAGAGAAGGGTGAGTACAGTACAATAAGGTCTTGAGAGATACTACATTCATATATATTCATCTATATATAATTTTTCTTTTTCTTTTTTTTTTTTTTTTTTTTTTTGAGACGGAGTCTCGCTCTGTCACCCAGGCTGGAGTGCGGTGGCCGGATCTCAGCTCACTGCAAGCTCCGCCTCCCGGGTTCACGCCATTCTCCTGCCTCAGCCTCCCGAGTAGCTGGGACTACAGGCGCCCGCCACCTCGCCCGGCTAGTTTTTTGTATTTTTTAGTAGAGACGGGGTTTCACCGTGTTAGCCAGGATGGTCTCGATCTCCTGACCTCGTGATCCGCCCGTCTCGGCCTCCCAAAGTGCTGGGATTACAGGCGTGAGCCACCGCGCCCGGCCTCTTTTTTTTTTTTAAGACAGGGCCTCGCTCTGTTGCCCAGGCTGCAGTGCAGTGGCATGATTACGGCTCACTGCAGCCTCAACCCCCTGGGCTCGAGCGATCCTCCCATCTCAGCTTGTGTGCCACCCTACTGAGCTAATTTTTCTTATTTTTTGTAGAGACGAGGTCTCCATATGTTGCCCAGGCTGGTCTTGAATTCCTGGGCTCAAGCGCTCCTCCTTACCTCAGCCTCTGAAAGTGCTGGGATTATAGGCATGAGCTACCACACCTGGCCATCTTTTGTTTTTTAAGAGATGGGGTCACTGTTAGGCTGGATTTGAACTCCTGGGCTCAAGCCATCCTCCTGCTCAGCCTTCCAAGTAGCTGGAGCTATAGGTGCACACCACCATGTCCAGCTTCCACATAACTTTCTTACAGTATATTGTAATAATTGTTCCATTATTGTTAATCTTAGTGTGCCTAATTTATAAACTTTATCATAGGTATGTATGTATACAAAAAAACATTCTCTCTCTCTCTCTCTCTCTATATATATATGATTTGGTACTATCCTCAGTTTCAGATATCCACTGGGGGTCTTAGAACTTATCCCCCAAGAATAGGGAGGTCTATATACATGTATGTAGGGGTGGGAGGTCAGGTACAGTGAAGAAAGTAGAAATCTTTTTTCTTTAACTATAGACAGGGTCTCACTATGTTCCCCAGGCTGATCTCAAACTCCTGGGCTCAAACAATCCTCCCACCTCAGCCTCCCAAAGTGCAAGGATTACAGGCATGAGCTACCCTGCCCAGCCAAAATCTATTTTTGGTATATTAAGATACAGTCCCAGCCTATGGAATGATCCAATAGTTCATTCTTCTGTGACACTCCAGCCTCTAAAATAGGACATAAATGCATAAATGCATTTTTTTTTTTTCTTTTTTGAGACAAGAGTCTTGCTCAGTTGTCCAGGCTGAAATGCAGTGGCATGATCTCAGCTCACTGCCACCTCCGCCTCCCGGATTCAAGCAATTCTCCTGCCTCAGCCTCCTGAGCAACTGGGATTACAGGCGTGTGCCACCACACTGGACTAATTTTTGTATTTTTAGTAGAGATGGGGTTTCATCATGTTGGCCAGGCTAGTCTCAAAACCCTGACCTCAAGTGATTCGCCCGCCTTTGGCTTCCCAAAGTGCTGGGATTACAGGTGTGAGCCACCGCGCCTGGCCAAATGCACATTTCAGAGATACCATTCAGCACTGTTCTGTTTGGTTTGTCTGTGTATTGTGGGCAGTAGGCAGAGGAGCCTTTTTTTTACCCTCTTCTAAAAATCCACTTGCAGTATCAAGGTTTATATCTGTAAAAACGCAGAAAGTCAATAGAGGACTCCAAACCCAAGTTGTTTTTGGACTCGTTCAGGAAGGCAAAAGGAAGGCTTCAACCTGTGGGAACAATTAGTGGTTTGTGTGTACAGATACACCTTTGTATCAAGTAGCCAAG